CACTAACACACACTTTGAGGCTTTGCAATTGCACCTCGAGATGTTTTTGTGCCACACGTTTCCCATGTTACAGCTGGGGCAGGTGTCCTGAGGGGGTTGGTGACTCCAGATTTTATTCCCTGCTAACTTCGATGGCTCAAAGGGCCTTTGACTCCCTTGGTATGTGGTTTCTTTGCCTCAGGGAGGTTGTGAAGCCCAGCCTGGAAGCCACCGAGGCTCGAAGAGCACTGTGGGCAGGGTGGGGCACGAGAGTCATCCCCACCTTGTCCTGAGGAAAGGAGAGACTAAAAATTGCTTTTCAGCACGTTTGGTAAATGGGGTTGAAGCCTGGGCACACAACGTGGCTCCAAGAAACTGGGGGGTGTTTGGGGAGCCCCTTTTATGGGCACGGGGGGGTTCGATAACCCTTCAATGGGCACCGGAGGGGGTTCGAGGATCCTTCAGTGAGCACCGGCGGTGCTGGGGACCCCCTTTAGAAGCACTGAGGGGTGTGTGAGGACCGCTCTCTGAGCACCGAGGGATGTTGTGGAATCCCCCCCAACTGCCGGCGCCACAAGATGGCGGCCGCCCCGCCGGACTGCTGTTCCCGGCGTGCCCAGCGTGCGCCGCGCGAAATGGCCGCTAGGCGCCGCGCGCGAGACTACAACTCCCGGTACACCTCGCGCCGAGTAAGCGCGACAAACACTACATGTCCCGGCATGCCTCGCGCCGCCCCTCCCCATTCCCACCCCACACCTCCGAGGGCCCGGCCGGGCGCGCGCCGGGGAGGGGCGGGGGCGGGGGCGTGGCGTGCGCGCGCCGGCGTTGGCGGAAGTGACGCGCGTGCCGCGGTGTGTGGCGGAGCGGGCCGGGCCGGGCCGAGCGCGGAGCCGAGCGGGGCCGGTGGGGCCGGTGCGGCCGGGCGGGACACGGCGGAGCGCCGGCGGCTCCTCTGACACCGCAGGTGAGCGCCGGGGGTCGGCCCCGGCTGGTTGGGGGGGCCGGAGGGCGCCGCCCCCTCCCCTGAGGCGGCGCCGCCGCCGGGCCGCGGCCTCCACCCCCCGCGGCGGGGCCGCCCCTCGGTATTGTCTGCGGCGCCATCCGGGGCCTGCGGGGGCCGCCGGGCCGCAACAAAGCGGGGGCGGCCCCGGGGCCGAGACAGCGGCACCGTGAGGGGGGTCTGACACACGCTGCTCCCACAGACACCGCCTCGCTGGGCCATAAAACTCAGCGCAGCGCTCGGAGGCCTTTATATCAGATATAAACCCGCGCCCCGCGTGAAATGATTAAGAAATGCGCCTATTAGACGGGTTTAATGAGCTACGTCGATAACTGCGCTAATCTAAACTGATAAGGGGGAGCTCGGCCGCGCTGCTGGTTCCGGGAGGAATCGCCGCCTGATAAACAACTCGCAGGGCTCTAAAACACCTTTCTTTAATCTTCAGCGGCCACTAAACCCCTCACGTGTTGCTCTTGGGTGCTTGAAGCAAATATCTTAGTTTTTTAACTCCAGTTTTTCCCCTCGCGGGTGAGGCCCAGGGCGCTGTGCGGGTTTAGGCCTGACCTCACCTCCGGAGTGGGCGGTGGATAATCTTCTTTCGTGACTGGGTTGTAAATGCGGAATCTTCAGTCACAAAGGCCTGAATTTTAATGATGGTCGGGCCGGGGCTCTTCGTGGCTGTAACTGCAGCAGAATTCAGGGAAACCGGTAAATTAGGGATGTTGTGGAGCAACGAGCTGTACCCTCCATACAGGAAACAGAGTTCACTGAAAGCCCTGTTGTTACAAGATTCCTAATTTCTCATTTAATTCCTAAGATAAAAATCCTTTTCTTTTTCATGTCTTTCCTTCTGCACCTGGAGTGTTTTTCTTGCCTCACTCCCACTCCCCACCAAAATCCTGGAGTAATTTGGGTCAGAACCTCCCAGGGTGTCCCTGTGGCAGAATCCTCCCGGTTTTCTATTCCTCAGCACTACCAGTGTTACATTTCCTCTTCCAGTGTAAGGAGCTTTGAGCTCCTCTGCTTCCCACCTACTCCCAGTTGGAAAAGGTGTTATTTTTGTTCCCAGCAGTGTAGCCTGGCACTGGGTTTGTTTTCTGCAGCAGCTTGCCTAGACTGGGACTTCTTGCAAGACTGAAGTGGCATTTGGCTCTTCCCCCTCAGAATTCCCTGCAGCTCCTGACTGAAATGTTGTATCCAACACCAAGGAAACAGGACTGATCTTGTCCTCACACGTGATCACAGAAAGCAGCTGGTTTGTCTTTTAAAATGTAGAAATGGGAAGATTTATTTGTTTTATTGGAAGCTGCAGAAAATGAAATCAGGAGTGTTGTGAAGGACTGGCCTGGGGATTCCTCACTGTTCCTGCAGGATAAATGTTGGTTAGAATGTTTTCCTGTGGGAAAGACATGAATGGGCTGGGGGGTTCATCAGAAAAAAATCAGATATTCAGGTTGGGCCTGAGGTGCTGCTGGAACCTCCTCATCCTCATTGTCCTGGGGTAGTGATGGACAAAGCTGGTTTGGTCCAAGCTGGACTTCCCTCCCTCCCTCCCAAAGCTGTAGCTTGTGTTCTGTGGGAACGCTTCAGGAATGGGGAAAGCAGCCCATGATTCAACAAATGAACCTTCCAAGCTTTTACAGAAACAAGTAGGGTTGGTTTGCTGGTTTTGGGTTGGGTGTTTGTTTTTTTTTTAATTATTTTTACCTTTCTGACTTGTCTGGGTACAGTCACCTTTGTGCAGGAGCTGCCTGAGTTCCTCACACACTGCTGAGGCACTTTCCTTCAGGGGAATAGGAATAT